ATTGTTACACCATGGGGTGAAAGTCCTTGCATTGCTTCATTTTCCTCCTATTTGGCTTTGGAAAATTGCATACACACATATAAAAACTCAAAAAGACATTAGGAAATGTAAGAGTCTAAGCTCCCTCTGGGGAGGCAGGGAGGAAGACAATAACGTTGGAAAGCTGCACCAAGTTTCATCTGTGTTTTTGTGTTTTTCTTCTAAACTTAGATTTTATCTTTTCAGTTCTCATACACTGTTAATCTGGCTTCTGTGGTCGCTAGACTCAGAAACACATTCCTGGGATACCAAGAGGCATGTGGCCTACCTGTAGCACTGGTCTCTGGATTAGGGATGTGGCTTACTAAGCATCAATGTCAGGGCTTTTAGAGCAGTGCTGTAAATTCACTGCTCTTCAGCCCAGATGAGGCAGTAAGAAGCAGACCTGTAGAAGCAGTCATGTGGGCACAGCTGTGCCTCCAGTAAGAAATTCTGAGGGGCAATTCTTACAATAAGGGCAATTCTTACAATTGCATGTTCTCGTTGCTCACTGGGATTGCACAGCCCAATGGAACAAGGTGGAGCAAACAGTCTGGTACAAGCAGCTTAGCCAGGGTGTGCTGCTGTATGGTTCTCTTCAGTGAGAAGTGGGCTATGCTGTTTTACAGGTAGATATACCAGAGGTGTTTCATTGCATGGATGTGCAGAACAGAGCAGTTCTGACGTTCTGTGGGGCAGGAGTGTATTGCCCTGTGTGGCTGCACTCGTGGGGCTGGAAATGCCGTAAAGGCATCAGCTAAGACAGTGCAAAGCCTGTATGGAGGAAGGGCTTTGTGCTTTTATTGGAAGTAACTGTCTCCTAATTTTTCTCCTTGGGAACCTTTTTGGTACAGCATGTGTATCTTCCTTGTAAATAGCAAGAATTGGGTGAATGTGATTATAAAGGTTCCCCTCCTGGTGTGAAGGTGTTTTGTGTGTTTGTGGCTGACCTAGTGCTCTATCTGCCCAGCCTTTGGCTGTCTGGAGTTAACTTTTGTGAGGGGGATCTGCCTCCAAACCCTCTTCTGTGAGCCTGTCTGGGAAGACAGACATTTTATTCTGTACATGAAAAGAGATTTAAATTTTTTCTTTTGTAGTGAGTTTAAGAGCACTGACTTTAAAAATCTCCAAGTAGCTCACTGTAAATAAACCAAGATGAGTAAAATACTTGTATTTTTACAGCTCTTAAAACACATTTTATAATGGAGATGGAAGACTTCTTTGCAGTGGGAGGTATGGGAGTTAGAGAAATATTTGTCATCATCTGCAGTATGAGCAGGCATAATGCAAATTCTCCTGTATAATTCAATAAAATTGGGGTATGTCTGGGTTATGGCCTATAATATTTACAACTATCATAAAATTTTTTGTTATGCTGCATGCAGTGTCAGATCCATTTTGTTCTTTAAATTACATAAGATGGATCAGAAACCAAGAGTTTAATTACAAATTTTATAGAAAATAATAATAAATTCCTGCTTACAAAGACAGCGTTCTTGAAGTCTATTCATTCTTTGAGTGGGAAATACAATTATTGATTGCCTAGTCATAGAATAAAAAAAGACTATATTTTTTGTTATTTATTAAAGCTAATTAAAAATGTGTATAATTTGAACATATTACAATAAATGCAGAACTGCAGCATACTGGAATGTATTAATATATCTATAAGAACATTTGTTTAGCATCGTTTTGCAGAAAAAAATACTTTCCTTATTCTGATTTATTCCTACCTCTGCAAAATCACACATCCATGTTTTGTTTGGTGAGTTTTTTGTTCCCATACTATCGTTCTTTTGCCAGAATATTTCAGCAACAGCTAATCACTTACAAAGTAAAAGCTTATGTTCAGCTTACTTATGAATTCATTTTCTTATGCCATGATGTTATCAGTGATATTTTAAAACTGAATCTTCTGGAGACAATCCAGCTAAATCAAGGGTAAAAACATATAAGAAGGTTATATCAGAACTGAGGTGTAGGGCATTAATGGCTTGTGTGCTGCCACTTCAAATTTCACATGCACTCTGAAAAAATTATAAGGCTGACTACTGATAATTAAAAACAAAGACACTGAGTTGTTTGGATTCCATATTGGAAGAAAAAGCACAGTCATTCTTAGTTTACAATGAAAAGATAAGGCATTTGTTAATGTTTCAAGTAGTATTGGATCAAATCAAAGAATTAAAAGGAGAACCAGCTTTCATTTTTGAGTTAACATTTGGGGCCCTTAAGTAAAGCTGATGATGTTTCTGGACAAGAGAAAATCAATAGCATGCCGCTTTTAGTATCTACTGAATGTTAGGTAGTTAATAATTTAAGAAAGAGAGCTTGCTGCTACACTTACAAGGTTTTCCCTTTTGTTAAGGAAGGAGACAGGTTCAGTTGCTTGTTGGATATTCCTTTGTATGCTTACTTTTAGTAAATTAAAAATGGCTTTTCCTCAAATAAGAGAACTGCCTTCTGACTACAGGGCAAGATTTTTTTGATAGCCTTGATATGAACTACCTAAAAGATGGGAGCCTTTAATAAAACAAAAAAAAGTCTTCCAAAGGTGTTTTGGCTTAACATTATTTGAGCAGCTCTTGAAGACAGAAAGGGAATTGTAGTAGCATCAGATGCAGGCAGAGGTGATTGTGCCTGCTCAAGGACTTGACAAGAATTTCTACTTAGGGGATGCTCTAGAAGAATGAGCAAAAGAATACTGGGGAGCATGTATCTTTACAGTTGTGCATTGCATAAATGAAATTTTCTTCTGTCTCCTGACCTGAGCTCAGCTGTGGTTTTTTGCTTCCAGGATGTACAGCACAGATGGTGGAGACTAATTGGGGTGGAGGGCAAAGCCTCTATGTGTTCTTGAAATCCTGTGCCTCTCTGGAGGTCAAGGGTGAAGTTGCAGTGGCACAGCATCCTCGGGGCTTCCCTGGGTTTGCCTGCCTCCCTGGGTTTGCCTGCTGTTCATGATGCAAAGCTGAACGGCTGTAGCAGCTGTCGAACACGCTTCTGTCTAACACACAGGACAAACTTCTCCATCCGTCCATCTGACTCAACCAACAGCAGTGTGTCCGTGCGTGGAGGGGTCCTGTATTGAGCCCTGCAGCAATGCCAGCAGATGCAGAAGCAGCATTTGGCAAGCAGATCAGCCTTGCTGTGACAGGCTCTTTCAGATTGGCTGCCTTTCTTGGGCTAGTATTTTTCCGGTGTCTCTGCAAACAGAACTCTGGCAACTTGCTGCCTTTCACCTTTTCCAAGTATCAGAGTTCTGGGAGGGCATGATGGCCTCAGAGATATGCAAATAATTTCCTTGTACTAGCACTGGTGCTCAGAGATGCAGCAATGTTTTCATGTGCCCTCCAACAGCTCATGCTGAGCTCTGTCTGTACTAAAACTTGCATGGTAGCAGGCTGAGACTTAGTCTGGGAGCTTTGGGTTTGTTCTATCCCCAAGCCATTCCCATCCTTTTCTTCTTCCCAGAAAACAAAAAAAGTCACAGCTGGGCTTGTCTTGCATTTGCATCTGTCCATAACCTTCACAGCAGCTCTCAGTCCTGCCACTGTTACAAATGTGATTATACAGAATTTTCAGAAATAAATGACATAGGGAGATGCTAATCAAAGCTTTTGTGGAGCCTCATCATGTAATTTGTGTTGTGTTTCTTTCACTGTACCACCAGTCAGCATCACTCATGTCCAGCCTTAAGTTCTCCATTTGCAGGTATGTTTGTGTTCCACCCAAACTTTTTGTTTTCTTTGTGGTCTTCTTGAGTTTCTTCCCCTCCCACTGCTTCTCCAGTTGCTCCATTAAATAGTAGGAAGCCACAGATGAATCCCTATGGGTGTTTCCATACTAAAAAAGATCCCAAAAATATCTCTCCTTTGGCCCAAGAGGAAGCAACAAAGCAGGACTGACAGGTGGCAGGAGCCCCCAAAGCAGCGATGTAGTTGCACAGCACGTGCAATTTAAAATGGTAATTTAATGTGCAATCATCAGGTCAAGCTGACATCAGGGAATGGGATGTTAAAGGCTTTTTAGTGGGCATATGAAGTAGCATGAGGATTGAGCTGACACTCTCTCATGTCTTGTGTACAGAGGTGGCCTTTGGCCTTTCTGCTATATCATATTTATGGGTGTTAGAGGGATGCATCCTATAACAGAATTCTCCATGAGTTGTGTCCATCTACATTTAAATGACAAAGGTCAGTCCACTTGTACAGTAATTAAATGTTAATAAAATAAGAAAAAAATATAGCATTCAAGTTAATGCTATAACTGAGCAGGGTGACTATCTCTCACACAGCCTCAATACATGATATAATTTATGCATGAGCTCAGAATTCTCTACAAGATGCTGAAATCAACATCACATGATGGGGATGTGGATACTTATTTTAGACACTGAGTTTGAAAATTGTAGTTTGTGGAAATGTATGCAAAAATATTGCCAAAATAAGCATTGAAAGCCTAATTTCAATATGCAGCTGCTTGTAAGCATGGTAATTAAGATATATTGGGTAAATTTACTACATCTGTTCTCACCCACACTAGTGAGAGAGAAGTTGCAGATTTCAGATGTAGACTCACCAGAGCTTTAAACTCCAGCTAGGACCCAGGAGAAAGCTATCTGTGAGAGCAGGTCTGCTGCTTAGCCTGGTCTTGTCTCCACTGCTCAGAGCTTTGGTGGAAGGAAAGTTGCTGGGATGGCTCAGCTCCCACCTCTTGAAAACACTTTTCACAAACGGACTCACAGTCTGGAAGGGAGGGAGAGAGAGTCAATCAGCATGTTATCTGGATAAAGAAACCAAAGTGAGGGTTTAGACATTTTTCTTGTCAGGAATGAATCAGTGTTGACTTTACATGCCATCACCAGTCACTCACTGCTCCGAATGCTGTGTTTACCCTCTGCAGCTGGAGATCCATACTCCTTCTAGATTGCTGCTCCTCTGAAATAAATCAACAGGTTTTACCTCTACTTTTTCCTTCAGCTGGGGTGATGCTGGTCCCTGAAAGGAAGACGGAGGATGGGTTTGAGGAGCACTTCGGCTTGAACTACTTGGGGCACTTCCTGTTGACTAACCTCCTCTTGGATACGCTGAAGCAATCAGGAACGCACAGTCACAACGCTAGGATCGTCACTGTCTCATCAGCCACCCATTATGCAGGCAAATTGCACCTAGACGACTTACAAAGCAGGTACCGATCCCTTTTTGGTATTCACTGATCTGTAGTAATCTTGTGTAGATTAAAATACAAGAGAATTGCTACTGACTATGAGACGGGGTTTTGTTGCCTTTTTTAAAATACAAGTTATGGTGCTTCTTAAGCACTTGCTTATTGTATTTAACATTTGATCAAAGCTTGCAGCCTTAAGCCAAAGGTACAAATAATTTATAAATTCTGAACGGCGTCTTTTATTCTGGACTTTGAAACCCTCACTTTGCTTTCTGATGCTTATACTGCGGTGATGCTTGAGGTGCATGCGGCGCCTGGACTCGCCACTACCTAATGAGGGAGAGACACGTTTTTAACCCAGTAAAATGGGCTTAAATGCATGCATGACTTCTGACCTTCTGCTTTCATTTAGGAAAATTGTGGATGAATGTCTGTGAGATATTTCTAACATTAGGAAGACATCAAATGATGCAGTAAATGTCTCTGATATCACGCAGGAACCGCGTGGAGTAGCTTAGTTAGCAGGGCAACAGGCAGGATAACTGAGATAAATTTCAAAATTTCCCCATGCAGTCATGCGTAGCAATTATGTGCTTACCAACAGGCTCAAGCAGAGCCTGCCTTCCCCCTTCCCATGGGCACCAGAGAGCTTCTGCCTGCCTATATGGAGCCAGTCTGACTTCTGTGTCATTTCTATGAAAATCTGTCTCCATCCTTTGACAGGGTGGACAGAGGTACCTGGCCCAAGGTTTCATTTCCAAACAAAGACTGAAATTAGAGGGCTGGGCTGTTTCCACTGCAGACATTTTACATATGAATGCTGCATTGGGCATGTCAAACTTCTGATTACATATTATGGCATCAGTTTTATTACAAGCCATTGTTTAAACCTCTGCAGGGTAGTCACAGTTTAATCTCTTGCTTGTAAAACAACTGCAGGAAATTACCCTTACTCTTCACTTGATGTATGTAGTCATTGTTTCTGATGGCCATGTGCTGGATGGCACCATGTGAGGGGGCTTAGGGGATTAGTATTTCTTTGGGCTAAAGTGCAGAATGCAGAATTAGATGTGACTGTTCTATGTGTCTAGATAACAGTAGTTTCCTTGATTATAGCAAGGCCTTGTATTGTGCCTCTTTAATTTAGGATCATCACTATCTTTGATTTGTCATTATTAACTCATATTTTAAAGGAACCAGAAATGTTTTGGTTTGGAAAGTTATGGTTGAGCAAGAACATGACTAGTCTGATAGAATAATAATATACCAGTGAGATTTACCTGCAGCTTTTGTGTCCTTTACCTTTCGACATTATTGATGTAAGAAGGACTATAAAGGATGACTGATTTTGCCTGCTTATTCCCACACAGATGCTCTGAATCATTCAAGGGTAGCAGTGGTGCCTGCATGTATGAACATTGGTGAAACCCAGAGTGGGCTGTAAATTCAGGTCCAAACCTTTCCTTAGTTCAGGTGTAAAAAGATGCTCTTCAGTATTTTTTTTTATGGCCTGCCAATAAGCCCCCACTCAGGCAAATAGTTTGACATCACCAGAAACAGTGCTGTAAAAACCAGTGAGATCACTTGCTGTGTCCTTACAGCGTGAGCAGGGGGTGTAGCAGGAGGACTGCTGTGGGCGTATCATACCCAGGCATTGCCTACTCCACAAGGCCCTGTGATTCAGAGAAACATTCAGGAGATTTAATGGATGTAGTAAAGACACCCTTGGTGAACAGTTTCCTGGTGATGCCATATCTCATTTTTGCTGCTTGTGTAAATGGGAAATAATTCTAAAAATTTTCTACTTTTTTTTTTTTTTTTTTTCCTTGACTTTGAGTTGCACCAGTTGGCCATAATTCATTTTACAACTTGGGTGTATGTTCCCAGGTTGGCTGTTGTTCTCAGGTTGGCCCCAACCTAGTAAGAAAGCAGCAAAACAGTCTGGAGTCATTATTGGAGAAATGAGGCTGTGCTCTGTGCTGGGGAAATTACTGCTGGCAGCAGGCTGGATTTTTTACCATCCTCTTGTCTCATTATTCCTAGGTGCTAGTAGGGCTAGTGTCCTGACTAGAGGTGAGTGATAGTTCTACAGCAGGGATTCATCCATCAAACATGGCAGAGAAGGAAGGGCAGAAGACTTGTCTTGCCTTAAAGGAGCCAGTAAGCTGAGGTTCAGTTCTCTGCTTTACCACAGACTTTTCTGTGGAATCCTTCTCCCACCCAGGAGACTCTGAGGTGGCAGTCACATTTGTGGCCATTGCTCCTCATTACTTGTACTTGCTGCTGAGAGGTCTGATCTGAAACCAGATATCATCCATATCAGTGACCACAGGGAAACTGCATAACAAATAATTGTTGGAAGGCCTGTCCCATGAACAGTGTTAAATGAAGCTAGCGCATTGTCCTCCGTGTTTCCTCTTTAGTTTGTTTCCTGCCATTTTACCAACCTGATTTATCCCATGTTGCTCTGGTTAGCTCTTTTCAGTGGGATGGTTAATTTAATGTTGTCTTTTTGCATTTTGCATTCTTTTCTTTCCTTCTTTGTCTCTTTCTTCATGCTTGCCTTCTTCTTCATCTGTCTTTTGAGCTTTTTTTGTTTAAATTGCATTTTTCCTCCCTATTTTTTTTCCTATGAGGCTGCCTTATTTCTACCCGCCAGTTTATGTCCTTCTCTCTGTTTATCTGCCTCTTATCTTTTCCCCCTAGCCCCTCTCCTATCTCTTCCCTATGAATGCCATTTCTCCCCCTTCCTGCCCCTCCTCTTCACACACACACACCAGTGGAAGAGACATGGCATGGGTACATCAAGGCAGGATAGAGCTTGTTCCAAACAGGCAGGGCACAGCTTGTTTCATGTGTGTTATTGAAAATGCAAACACACACGCACAAGAGCACTGACTGTTCTCCCAGTTCTTTTGCTGAAGGATATATATGAAGAACATCAAACGCCTTTGTGGTCTTTTAGATCCAGACCATTTTCAACAGCAATCACATGAGTCGACAAGGGGATCCCTAAGGCAAATCATTCTCCTTCATCCCTACTTTGAACACAACTGTTTTCAGGGAGGTGAAAGTTTAAGAGAAACACAACCTATCTGTAAGCATTTCCACAGTGGTGATTTCAGCAGTTCCATGCAGAGGGTAGTACTGCATGCTCCAGCAGCACAGCTAACATGGCCTTCTTTCCTCTTTTGCCTGCCTTAAATGATACTTTTTTAAACTGAGAGGAGAAAAAAGTACAGTCATGAGAGAATATGGCTGTCTGTTTTTAGCAAAAGCTTGAAGGATAGTGTGCCATCCACTTGGGTTGAGATAAGCTTGAGCAGTGCACTGGAGTTCATGGTGCTCTTTCAAGGCTGAGGTGTAGGACACTCTTTTGAGTGCTCTACCTACCAACGTAAGAAAGTATTTTTAGGAAAATAATGAAAAAAAGACCGTATTCTCTTTCCCAGGCTGTGGATCACACTTGAATATGCTTCTTTCTCAAGGGTTAGCATCTTTGTGTGTTTTGTCTAGCTTTTTCTCCATGACTAACTATTCCTTTCATCATCCTCTCTTTTTGCATACCAAATGGGCCCTGTAATGCTGTGAATCACAGATCTGTGCACTCCCCAGCCACAGTAACACAGCTCCTTTTCTGGTTCACATCTCTTATATATTCAAGAACAGTTAGTCACACTTTTCTGCTCCCTTTCCTCTGCTCTCCAACTGCAGAAGGAGCTGATTATTTTTGAAACTCTCCAAGCTGAACACAATATATTAGATATAATTTCTGTATTTTTCCCTGTATCCCTAGTGCATGAATCATGTCAGAGACAATAGAAGTTAAATGAAAAGAATTGCAAAATTCTCAGCTGCCACATGTGTGTTCTGGCTGGTGTAAAATAGGATAAACAGCTCTACCCTAGACCTAGGAAGATTCTGGAGAGACCAGGCAGCTCCTGTTCATCTCCTCTATTAGGCAGTTCACAAAGAACTGTAATGAGAAGTGTTAGGTACTGATGGGAAAATATGTCTAGCAAACTGTCTGGAGATCTCCTATTCTTGGATGAGCGGCATCCTTCATCTTATTGTCTGCCATGTATGTGATGTTTGTTGGTTAAAAATTCTGTATTAAGTTTGGGCAGAAAGTTGAGGATTTTTTCCATCAGCATTAATGAAATTTTGGAAAATATTTTCTATGAACAGCAACTAAAAGTTAAGATGTTGAATTACTTTTGGAAAATATTTATCTATTTTTGAAACCAAAACATTTGATTTCAGTGTTCTAAATAATTTTTAAAATTTATTTGTAATTATCCCTATGAGTACCTTGGTATTCAGATTTTGAAGTATGACAATAAAACTGAAACTCCCAAAGTTTAATTTCTAAACCATCCTTTTCAAGTATCTCCATCAATTTCATGTTACTTATTCTTTCTCTTTTTTTTTTTTAAAAGCTGGACATTTGTGTAAAATTATTTTTTTTTTTTTACTAAAAATGGTTTGATGAGTCAACATTTTTGTCCAATGAAAGGCTTCTCTTTTTTAAACACACAGTTAGTTCCTTCAGTGCCTTTTCATGGTTGATCTGTCACTTAAACTTTCTTAATTCTCTCTGATTGGAAGAAGTGGAAGCATAACATCTTAAATTCAAGCAAAAACAACCATGAAGCTGGTGTAGCATAGCACTATAGCATATATATTTTTTATACAATAAAAAATAGATAGCTATGCAACAGTGCTATATATCTAACAGTGCCTTTATTTTTTTATACAATAAAGGAAAATCTGTAAAAGTAAGAAGGAGAGATTTTCATTATTACCCATTTTTTATAAATCCAATTTAGCAAGTACAGAAGTCTTTAATAATAACATATAAAGAGCTGTGTCACTGGACTGTTGTTCAGTAAAATGCTGGGAAAAAATACAGAAGCAGTAATCATAAAAGATTGTTCTAGTTTATTAGATAGATACATATTATCATAGGTTTTATTTAACTCATGGAATATATGGTTCTGAGTTCTGCTTTTTAAGCAGCT